ACACCGCGCTTTAAGTAAAACAACGTCGGGCGCGGCAGTTTCAAAACCAGTTTGCAATTGCACTTCAGGCACCCCACAAATACAACACACTCCACACGACCCTGCCGCCGTCTCACGTCCCGGAACGAGATGCGATAAAGAGAAACCGACAAGGGAAAAATAAGATAAAAATAAACCTAGTATTTACCTGGGGACAGCGAGACAAACAGAGGGGGATAGCCCTACCGGGCCCTCGACCCCTCGACTTCCTCCGCGTCACTCCGCTGCTCCCGCGCTGATGCCCGCCGGCCTCGATCCCCGTACCGTCGCAGTGTCAGTCCAATGTCGTAACCTATAGGGCTAAGCCCAAGCCTGGCACCAACAGACACATACCTCCTAATAAAGAGGTAGTCCTTGACTCTTAGGGCCAAGGAACCGCCTTGGGCCGCTTCTCGGCCCGCGCCTGTAGGCATGGCCGCCGAAAAAAAGAAAAAGAAAAGAAAAAACTCGCGCCGGCCCACCGGCCGTGCCGCGGCTACCCCTATTTGGCCGTATCCATCATTGTCGATGTTGTCGCCCTCGCACACGCGCTCGCCTCGGTCAGACATACCAATTAACAGAAAATATCTCAAAACCCTGCTTGATCAAAAATAAAAATAAATATTAATAATATTATTAACCAATGACCAATGTCCGCTATCGRCTTTATGATAAAATAACAGAAAAGAATCACGCGCGCCTTCAACCTGCGCTCCCACGCACTCGCTATTGCGGTCAACCACCCTGTCAAAGCAATTACTGACGTAGCCGCGCTTAGCGCGGTATACTTAGACTCTAGACCAAACTATTTTCTGTCACTTGCAAAAGCCAGGGCGGATACCCTTGTAAGGGTATTCGCACCGACAGCCTACCGGACCATATTAAGCGACGTCCCCGTCGCTTCGCCAAATCAGAAAGCTATAAATTCATCCACATTCCAAATGCTGACGAAACAGGAGCCAATCCGATTAGCCGACAAACACAGGGTAGAGGCCTCCATCAAACCATGCCTTCATAACTATATGCTGCCAGGTTTCTAACCTGGGCCTCACACCGTCCAGACATTAGGACACTGTCAGCATAAGTTCCAAATACCTTCCTAATCGTCCTCTCCCCGGTCCTAGACAACCTTCGGCTTCTCGTTGGGTGTCCCTAGTCCTGGCAAAAACTAGGGACGTGGGCTTTAACCGAGACCTTTGAAGGCACTCTCGCCTTCCTTCTCAAAATCTATTGCAATCAAATACATACAAGTATATATGTAAACTTAATATCCACTCCGCTCTTTCTGCAGTCTAGTACAGAAAGACCAGGTTTCCATCTTGGCCCACCATAGCCTGGTTGATCGGACCAGGACTACGGCCTACCGCATTGTTATTTAACGGTAGTACCCTCGTTGGTTACACAACGATAGGGTTTCTTCTGATAGGCACTCAATCAGGATTTTCCCCAAAAATTTGCAACCATCATTATCCCGCGGAGTAACTTCACTGGGGCGGGCAACCCCCCTTAAACTCTTACCCCGCGGTCCCACAGCCAGGTTGCGCCGGCTAGCAGCCATCCAATGGGGTTACGCCCTAGAGGTACTAACTTCTTTTCCGTTAGCTTGGCCTCTCGTCAATATGTCCCAGAACTAGCACAGGTGGTTAGACGGGGCGTCGCAAAACAAAATCACAGGCCCACTGCGCGATACGCAGGGGTCCGAAAAAATTTACCAGCCCTTCTTCAATAGGCATGACATCCTTCGTACGCTTACAAGCAAAATCACCGCTAAATCCACCAGGCCGTGACCCCTGACTTGATCAGAGCCAGCAGCCACCCACCCTAAGACATCTCTCGCCCTGTACTCATTGCGACTTTCTCAAACATTTCAAACAAAAAGTGGCCGTTTCCATCAGACTTTATCACGCATCAAACAACTCGTCATGCCATAAATCAATTTCCTCACTTCTGAGGATGAGTCTTCCAACCAAAAACCACTCCCTTCTTCCAACAATCCAAAAAGAACTCTCTTCATAAACAAAACACCCCCTCTTCCAAAAATCGCGAGGGGTCTCGCCATAAAACAATACATTCCCTCTTCCAGAAATCACGAGGGTCTGATCATAAACCAGACACCCCCTCTTCTCAAAGTCACGAGGGGTTTAGTTACATCACAAAACATCAAAAAAATCCCCCCTTTTCCAAAATCTAAGGGGGTCCCATCATAAAACAGAACATCACTGAGAGACCATCTTATGGGTCCTCATCACAACTCAGATAACTTTCACAGACGGACTGTGCTTCCTCCCCTTATACTCTGCCTTATCAGCTGCCGTGGGCAGGTCGCACAAGTATACCGAGGAGTAGACAGTTTTACTTACAATCATATTCACAATACCCAAGATACATAAAAGGTTTTTCACATATTGTTCACACAAACTCATCATACATCAGAGTACAACCACACATGTGAGAGAGACAGGTGATCGTCACATATAAGAATGGTCCCTGAAGGAAACCTCATCATAATATACACTCAGGGAGTACAATGTCTCACACAGAAAGTATCCCCAAATCATAGCTTGCTCAACTCAAGCCATACCAAACCCACACTGACAACTACCCCTAAAATACATGTCAGATCTGTCTCTCAAAGGCCAGGGCGTAGGCCACCTAAATATGTACATGCCTCATCTTAACTCACCCTGATCCTCAAGATCCCAACTCAGTAGAAACACTAGAGTTCAGATCTAGACTAACACCAATCATCAAAATGTCTTCTAAGTCTGAGAGGGTATTACTCAGAACCTAAGTTGATGCCTCACAAAATGCTCGCTCACTTATATAAACAAAACCGGTCCTACCTCCTCAACTCCTCCTGGTTTTGCCTATATAACTGAGCCCTAAGTCCATCTGCAGACTTTTCTACTATCATACCCTGTCTATCATACATTTTACCCCCTACCTCTGAGATCTTCCCTGCTGCCTTATCCTCAAGAAACTCGAGACAGTCCAAAGCCAGATGAACGTCCCTTTTGCAGTAAAAATATAGGTGATCTACCTTTCTCTTGAACTTCCTCTTCCTGGGTTGAGGAGGTGGCGATGAAGGAGATCCCACCAAGGTACTGACAACCCCCTGCTGCTCTGCTTGAGGAGCTGCGGTACTA